AGGAAGGGTTGACACCCCTGGTTGAATACAATGAGAAAAAAATATTTGAGGTGAAACTGAAGGAAATGAAATCTGTTGCAACAACCCAGATATCAGAGGAAACTGATATATCTGAGGTCATTGAAACTGTCAAGCAACACGTTAAAGATGCTAAATTACCTGATGTTGAGGTTGTGCGGATGCTCTGGGATGTATTAATGGATGCGGTTCAGTGGTCTGGGAAGAACCAGTAACAGAATTCTAATGCAGCCCTGCCACAGGTCAGATTTAGAATCTTGGTTTTTTTTGTTGGACCCTCCCTACCTTTGTTAGATGGGGCACTTAATTTGTTGTTGGTAGTCTTGGGCATTTAGGCAGTAGTTAAGTGTATTGGCTCAAACTTTAGAAATGGATGCAAAGGTAGTGTGGCCTTATTTCTGTTTGTCAATATGGAACTCTGCAGAATATTGGACTCACAAGCACAAACAGTTATTGAGCAAGTACATCATTTTGCTTTAGTGTCTGGAAAAATCATCAATTTATGCATACATTTGTGATTTTGCAACATTGTAGACAAGGTCATGTCATTTAGTCATTGTGTTCTCTGTCCCCTAATCCAGACTAAGCACTAGCTGGGGATTCTTGCAATATGTCAAGTTTAAAATTTTTAACATAAAAAAAAAAAAAAAAAAAAAAAAAAGAGGAATCCTTGTGATGTAAGTTATCGTTTAGCAGAAAAACTGTTTGTCTAATATCCTTCTACTGGTATGAATCTACAAAATTGAACTATTGGCCCAAGATCCCTCCCATTTACTCCTATCCAGAGGTTTGTAACACGCTTAAGTATTTTCTTTGATTACATTTTCATCACAAGGATGCCATAAGATATGGCATCTATCCTATTATTTATGATCCCTGATTGATCATTTGTTGGTTCAAATTCTGATACTTTCACCTTTAAAGGTGTGACAGAAGCAGAACACTGATTCACTAGTTTAGGCTAAACATGTTTGCTTTCTGGAAGTAATGAATTGATGTTCTGAAATTTCAGATGGCTATATCACAAATTGTTAATCATGAATTTTAAGAGTAAATGGTGGGATAAATTGTTGATTTGAGGTTTTCCTTTGTCTACCTACTTGTTATTACAGGTGAAGGCATGAGCAAAACTTTTAAATACCTTTTGCACCAGTGGGAAACTTGAGCTGGAACTCATATATAAAGTCCAGATGCAATGCTATGAGGATGTCAAACTGATGAAGCTGCTCCCTGAGATCATAATATTTCTCTATGATCAGGATGTACTTGCAAAAGACACCATTCTTCACTGGTTCCGCAAAGGAACAAACCCTAAGGGCAGGTATGCAAGTCCATTTTCATATATGCTATCATATTAAGAATTATGATGTTTGTTGAGGAAAATGAGAATTGACCCGTATATTTTTATATTCTTGTCTCCTTGCAAGTTGCAAATGTACCTCATTTTTGGTTTTTGCACATTTTGTTTCTGCATGTGATAATGATCTTAATGCACTGGCAACTGGTACAGACAAACATTTGTGAAGGCCTTGGAACCCTTTGTGAACTGGCTGGAAGAAGCTGAAGAGGAGGAATAAGTTGGACCTTGTTCCCCCGGTTTTATCAGTCTGTATCCATTCTTGACATGTAACTTGACATAAGATCTCAAGATCCTTTGACATTTGGTGTGATGTGAACGTACCTTATGGTGGATTCCCCTGCAATAATCAGTTTCTCTATATTCTCGTGCGTATGTTTCTTCCATCTATCTGCTTATTCACTATTGAAATTGGCTGATCAATTAGCATATTATTTTGTATTAAGGTCCCCAATTTCATCTCTCAACCCAAGAACTTTACGAGTGTTTGCCCGAAGGGCGTGTTTGGTTCACCCCTTTCTCTAAATCATAGGAACGTGGGACATTGGATCAACGAGCTTCTTGCTTGCGCAACTCCAGTAACATCCCTGGAGTTTCGCTCTGCCTGCTTGTTTAGGTGGTAGGGAGGAGGAACACCTGGTCACATTTTCTTCAACTTCTCTTAACTAAAACGTATGCTGCATTAATCAAATCGTCGAATAGTCTCTTGTTTATCCTCAATGTTAGCAACTAGCTTGTTTCTTTAGGATTATAAATGCGAGATTTTCATTCGATGACTCGAGAACATTCCCGACGGTGAGCGTGGATTCAGTGGGGGGTTGTGAAGTAGACTGTGAAAGAAAGGCATTCAGTAACAATTGAAACACGCGGTTGAATAATCTCAAAGTCAAGACAAATACCCCATTTGCATTTGTGATACAAGGCTTTAATCGCTGAAATTGTTTTTCGAGAAAAGAGATACAGCCTCAAATGAGAAGTTGGTTTTGCTACAGAAGATGAGAACACATCGAATGTGTGACTGAAAACCTAGAATATGGCAATTTCCTACACACTCAAAACACCTATTGATGTTATATACAACCATGACGAAGAACACTCATGCAGCTCGAGATGATACCTTGTTTAACATACAGCCATGATGAAGAACCTGCTCTAACCTCCAAACTTGTTCCAAAGAAGAGGGAATTCAAACAATATCCAAGGCCGTGAAAAGATATTGGCCTAAATGATTTGTTTACATTTCATTGTTGCTCTCTAAATGGAACAGGAACAAGGAAGAAAAACCTTTTGCTGCTCCAGCATCTTATAGGTCATTGTCAGCAGATAAATTTCTGCTTGAAGGATCAGTTGATCCCAACGGAAGCAGTTGGTTCTCAGCCCTGCAATTGAGAAGAGAGAAGAATGATCAAAGTGAAGTGGTAGGATAAGAAATTGAAGCAAATAAAAGAATCAACCTATTCCTATATCAAGGATAAACTTGAGTATGCGCACACTTTACACGCCTCATGTTGATTATTCTAAAGAACATGATGAACAGAACAGCTATACACCAGCTTGCAGAAGGTATAGGAGATTTCCTTAAGAACCCCTCTCTTTGGTCTCCACCTATCCTTCCAAAAGGAAAATATATTAAAGTTGATTAATTGACATATCTGCCAAATCCCATGCTAACGTCCAACAATATAATGTATTAGAATCCTAAATCAAGATGCATGCTAGTTTTCTGTATATTGGCTGCAGAAATAGCTATTGGCACGAGCAGACATCAACAGGAATTAAACAATGCTGAAGAGAATGACAAATGAAAATACTCAGCTTCAGAAAAATTCTAATGTAAGAAGACAAAATTCAGTAATCAAGAGGAAATAATGGCGGTCATATTCATTTCAGGTTTTCAACACCGAAGTTAAAAACAAAGGCAAATGTGTTTACATACCATCGGTTTTGCAATGACTCTGCTTCCTCCAATAGCATATTACGAGCTATAAACGCTAGTCAAAATATGTAAGTTTTACATGTAGAACAATTAACATTCCATGTCATGATGTCCAAATATGCTTAGGGTTTGTCATGTCTCCTTCAAATTCATTACGAAGAAAGCCTGGAGAAGAGAATAATAAAAAAAAAAAAATCAGCAAGTCAAGGCATATGATGAACTAGAATGGCATATGAAACTCCAAAAAACAGACGGCAGAAAACCATCTGCTTACCAATTTAGATGAAAAGAAACCAAGAAACTGGCGATTGGTATGGCAAAAGAGAAATGAATTCTTAAGTTATCCCTGAAAACATAAGGGAGTAGAAAGGTGAGTAACAATAACACAAAAGAGAGCAATCAGATCCATAAAACTGCATAAAGAAAAGAGTAACTTTTAACAGGCTCAAAAGCAATGCATTAAGTTACCAATTGGCAGTCCCGGAGTAAACTCTTTAATCATTATGTTTCCCTGTGGGAAAAGATGGTTATTCACATTAAGATGGTCGTCACTGCTGTGCATCCTTTTTTGAGATCTTCATCTGTGTTTTTGTCAATAATACAAAAGTTTCTGGAAAGTAAGGTAAGACATAACAGCCATTGAATGAGACATCAAGAATCTAATGCAAAACCACATTTGCCTATTTCTTGAATACCATCAACAATCGAAACATAACACGTGCACCTGTTATGTTTGGGATAGCTTTCGTTTGGCATAGTTTGAATTAGAATTTGCGAAAGTAAAATAGAATATAATGTGGAATAAAAAAAGGGTCATCTCATTAATTATACTTTTTTTTTTCCGTGTCATTAATTTTTTTTTTAAAAAAGGTGGTTTGAAAGTTGGGGGATGAAATTGGATTTTATATTTTTATACAATTTATTTGTGAACCGATTGTTGTCCTCCGCCGTACATGTTGGATCATTGAGCAGCAATGCCTCAGTTTCCTTGAGCACACGACTCACCTCGCCGCACAACTTACCAAACCAGCCCCGATGTCAGCCGCTTCCTTGGCGGAGTGACCGTCGAGTTGGCTGGTGATCTTCAAGTGCAGCTCCAGATCTATCACAGGTAGCTCCATTCTTCTATCTTTTTTTATTTTCTTTTTCTTTTGGGATTCAGAAAAAAAATTTTTGCTGAATCTGAAGTTGCAGATAATAAGAAAGTGAAAAGGGCAAAGCGTGAAGGTGGAAATATAGAATCTTTTGCAGGCGGGGCGGGATTGTGTTTGAAAATTGAAGGAATTGAAGAAGTCGAGGAGGCGAGGGAGATGATTGTAGAAGGATTAAGAAACGACACCGTTTTGGTTTGGAATTTCAATTTTCTTTTCGATTGACTCACATTTCCTCTATGTTGTTAAAAAAATAACTAAATAAATCTAATTTTAATGATAAAACTAAATATATTTAATTAATTTAAAATTTTACATGCAATATTTAAGTAATACATGCACAAAACAAACTATTGAGATAGAAACTAATATAAATTATACTAATACGAAGTAATCAATAACTTATAAAAATTTTTCAACATTTTTAGCCTACTAACCTGGATTTCTAGCTCCGTCCCCGTCCATAAGTTCATTTTCAGCCTAGGGTGCATTTTTTCAGGGAGTAGAGACTGAAAAACTGCAATATCAACCTGCTATAACAAAATCATCACAAAATTGTACAATGAACGAAATGAAAATAACCAGCTTCTTCAGGTCTGCTTATCTAAAGATCCGAGGATGAAGCATCATCTGCAAATATGTAACACTAGCAAAATATTCCTAGCTATAAAGCTCATTCATTTGAGAGAGACATTCAAAATTATTAACAAGAACAAATGCATAACTCAGTTGATAATCCATAAGCAAACCACGATCTGTCTTATGAAAGCAGAACACATGAAGTTCATCTTTTTTACTTCACACAATGAAATACACACCAGCAAGCCAAACCTCACAGAAATTAAACAGAGAAAATACAAGTTCAAACGTGGATTTTAGGGGGGAAAATGGGTTCAGTTTTAGTATGGGAAGTGATTATTTGAGCCAGACAGCGTGACAACTTGACAGCATTAAAATCCAGCTTGTGAATAAACCATTCAACCTGCAAGACATCACAACATAGTTTCATATAAGAAGATATTACTTCATGAAGGATGGCAAAAAGGTAAAAAGATAGAAATGATATATAGAAGCACAAGACCCACTCACCGTTTGACTTTAGTTTTGGACGTGAGAGAAAGTCTCTTGTATATACGTTTTCAGAGACGGATGTAATCCAGTTTGCGTAAGTTCAGTCTTCATTAGAGCCATCCATACTCTGTAATCATAAGGAATAACAAACTGAAGGTGAAAGCAAGAACCGTAGGCAGGATAAATGTTTATGACTAAATAATATAATGAAGTTA